ATGTTTTATGTTTATATTTTTTAAGACAAATGAGTGGATCCTTTTCATTCTCATCATCCATCTCCCAAAATGAGAACCACATTTAATTGTTTTCTGTTTTATGTTTATATTTTCCATTAAAATAATAGCAACTTGGTTTTTGTTTTTTTTTTTTTCCCTTAGATAAGCCCCAAAAGTGATGTTTGGTCGTTAGGATGCATTTTATACTATATGACTTATGGGAAAACACCATTTCAGCATATAATTAATCAGATTTCTAAATTGCATGCCATAATTGACCCTAATCATGAAATTGAATTTCCTGATATTCCAGAGAAAGATCTTCAAGATGTATTAAAGGTAATATTAATCTATGGATATAGAAGGGCAATATTTCATATAACTAATTATTTACTTTAAAGAAATAGCTGAAGTGACTGGAATTGTGTAACTGGCTTAAATATAGCTGTTCTATCAAAAGGAATTGCTGACTGAATTAGCTTTTAAAGGCATATTTATTTTGAAGGTAAACTAAACTAAGGTAAAACTAAGTTTTAAAACTTATGAATATAACCGGATATGGTAGCATCCACCTGTAGTCCCAGCTACTCAGGAGGCTAAGGCAGGAGGATCACTTGATCGAGCCCAAGAGTTCAAACTGCAGTGAGCTACTATTGCGCCACTGCATTCTTCCCTGGGTGACAGGGTAAGACCCTGTCTCTAAATAAATAGATAGATACATACATACATACATACATACATATATACTTGGGAATTTTGGAAAAGTGACTTAGGTGAAATAATCTTGTCATTATTTAAGTGGCATATCTAGAGAGCAACTTTTGTAATATGATGCAATCTGGAAAAATACTTTATCAATATCATATATGAAAAGCTGTTTTGTTTTTTAAAAAAATTCTTTATTTTTATAGTGTTGTTTAATAAGGGACCCGAAACAGAGGATATCCATACCTGAGCTCTTGGTGCATCCATATGTTCAAATTCAAACTCATCCAGGTACTACTGCTTTAAAAATTTGTTTACTAGATTACTAATATAAACAGCCTATTAACTATTACAGAAAGCAGAATCTGAATGGCTACTTTTTTCCAGCCTGCCTCCTTCCTTAAGGAAGTTTCTATTTTGCTAAATAGCAAAGTAAATAAAATCACCTTTCTTTACTTGCTGGTATTCATTTATACTTTTCCTAGGTAAGGGATTATGATTAGTGATAAATTATAAGAATGCCAGTTATTGTGCTGTTAAACAAAGTGTATATTTATAGTGGATTTTCTTATTGGTACCAGTATGTTATTGATTTATTTTATAGGTAACCAAATGGCTAAGGGAACCACTGAAGAAATGAAATATGTTCTGGGCCAACTTGTTGGTCTGAATTCTCCTAACTCCATTTTGAAAGCTGCTAAAGTAAGTATATCTATTCTCTGTCTACTTTAATTTTAATTGTTTTATATAGTGAGTTAGACACTTATAGAAATGGGTAATCCAAAGAAAAGTCGGTCCAATCATCAGATCAATTATGAAGTTTGTTTTCACATTTAGATAATTCATGTGTGCTTTTTAACAAACACAGATTTATTTGATTTATATTCTTATTGTTAATACAGCACAGTTCAAGGCAGATTGTCATATAAGGTGCATTC